TTCGTGGTTTTCACTGTATGCTGCTATCTGGTTTATCGATCGCTCTGCTCTAATGGAATACTTTCTCCGGAAGGGAAAACTGTTCTGATCACTGGTAAGCGTTAACAGAATTGCTCCCAGTCACATGAAATTTAACAGCATTTGTAAAACCTGCAACACTGGAATGAAATGAGTTGCCCTTGGCTAGAGCAGCCAGGAGTTTGGCTGGCCGACTTTTTTCGGTGCAGGGATAATTTCATGTCTTTGGTTTGTTCGGATAGAGTCTGTTTGTTTCCTTGCTGCGCAACTGTACAGAACCGAACTGCGTTTGTGACTATGTATGTATATACATATATAAAGATCTTTTATGAATTAAGAACGAAGTATACTTTTGAAAATAAAAAATCATTTTGTAATATTATTGCTATGTAAACTCGTATGTAATTTTCAGAAAATGATAAACTGCAATCTGCATTGAGAGCAAAATGAAGTCTAGTAAAGTCACTATAGTACTCCCAGACCATAGGGCTCACTCTCCGGGAACCACATCTCATGCGAGAGGAGACGTTGAGAAGGAGAGTCCTTCATAATAACCGCAGCCGGTGTGGAAATGCCACACTGTTGAAACATTATTCTGCATCACAAACCACCCGTCTAGCTAACTGATCCCCAGAATGAAGACTGGGCTACATTTAAATACTGTTTTTTTTAATTCACAGGATATGGGCATTACTGGCTAGGTCAGCATTTATTGCCTGTCCCTAATTGCCCAGAGAGCAATAATGAGTTCCCCCCCTTTTTCTGTGGGTCTGCAGTTACACGGGGTCCAGACTGGTTCCCTCCCCTAAAGTTTATTGGTGAAGCAGATGGGTTTTTCAGACAATCGGCAACTGTTTCACAGTTATCATTAGAGCTTTAATTTCAGATTTTCTTTGAATTCAAATTCCACCATCTGCCATTGGCAGGATTCAAACTCAGATCCCCAGAATTTGACCTGGATCTCTGGATTAAGGACTTAACAATATAACGTCATCTTACCCTTTTGTCTGTTAAACTGAATAGTAACATGCATTGATCCACTTATTTATTAACATGTTAGAATCATACAATCCCCACAGTGCAGAAAGAGGCCATTTGGCCATCAAGTCTGCACCAACCCTCTGAAGGGCATCCAACCCCCTATAATCCTGCATTTCCCATTACTAAACCACCTAGCCTACACATCTCTGGACAACAATTTAACACGGCCAATCCACCTAACCTGCACATCTCTGGACTGTGGGAGGAAACAGCAGCACCCAGTGGAAACCTGCACCAACAGGGGGAGAACATGCAAACTCCACACAGACAGTCTCAAGGCTGGTATAGAACTCATGCCCCTAGTACTGGCAGGCAGCAGCACTAACCACCATGCTGCCCAACTCTAAACATTGGGAAGATCAAAGGTATTATCTTCTAGACCATTTGCAACTGTTTTGTTTTATTTGACATTGAGATGTGCTAGTGACTACGTATCTACTCATTTACCAAGAACAGTGATTTCCTCTCAGCCCTTTTATGTTAGGAGTTATTGATATTAGAACGATGATCAAATGTTTGCACAGAGATAGTAGGAACTGCAGATGCTGGAGAATTTGAGATAACAAGATGTAGAGCTGGATGAACACAGCAGGCCAAGCAGCATCAGAGGAGCAGTTTT